CTCCTAGGTTAGAGCAATTCTCCTGCCTCAGCCTCCTGAGTAGCTGGGAGTATAGGCACACGCCACCATGCCCAGCTAATTTTTTGTATTTTCAGTAGAGACGGGGTTTCATTGAGGCTGGTCTCAAACTCCCGACCTTGTGATCCGCCCGCCTCAGCCTCCCAAAGTGCTGGGATTACAAGTGTGAGCCACTGCGCCCAGCCTTGGTGGTTCTTTTCTAATTGTATCCATGACTGTTGTTTAAAGAAAAAACTCAAAATATTATGAAATTGGGAAACTTAGAAAGGGAGAGTCCCTTGCAAATTTCAGTTTCTAGAAATAACTACTACTGATTTTTCTGACTCTTAGTTAATAATGGCCCTTAGGATTACTTTATGAATGTTATTGAATGGTGTCCACATTCGTTCCAGGAAGGAAGCATAGTATCACAGGCAGCAAGGACAAGAAACACATACCAATCATTTCACTAAAGCCCAAATCAACCTCCATCCCAGCCACACTCTGAGCAAGATCTTCAACCTTACAGACAAGGCAATAACATAGTAACAGGCAGTATAGCATATGGTTAGGGACACAGGCTTTGAAGTCACTGCCAGATCCAAATCCAAGCTCTGCTTTTTTTTTTTTTTTTTTTTGAGACATGGTCTCACTCTGTCACCCAGGTGGAGTGCAGTGATGTGATCTTGGCTCACAGTAGGATCGACTTCCCAAGCTCAGGTGATCCTCCCACCTCAGCCTCCCAAGGGACTACAGGTGCCTGCTAGGATGCTTGGCTAATTTTTTGTATTTTTTGTAGAGGTGGGGTTTGGCTATATTGCCAAGGCTGGTCTTGAACTCCTGGGCTCAAGTGATCTGCCCGCCTCAGCCTCCCAAAGTGCTGGGATTACAGGTGTGAGCCACCACGTCTGGCCTCAAGCTATGCTCTTATGAGCTGGGTGGCCCTGAATATTTTATCACCCTCTCTGAGCTTCACTTTCCTCATTTTGAAATCAGAATCAATAATAATAATACCTGCCTCAGGGGCTACAGTCAGGGTGAAACAGGCAACTGACTGTAAAAGCACTGAGCATGAGCATGGGGTCCAACACATGACATCTCTATAATGCAGGTGTCATCGCCTTCATCTTTTTCATCGTGATCATCATCTCACCTGGATCAGCATCAGGTACTTATAGTTCTATAGGAATCTAATATTAGGTCATCCTGACTTTAGTTTACTGTGAAGAGTCTATAAGCTCCTATTATTGAACCTGGGTTTGCAGCTTAAAAAGTAAATTTACATTTTATGGCCAACCGTGATGGCTCACACCTGTAATCCCAGGACTTTGGGAGGCCAAGGCAGGCAGATCGCTTGAAGTCAGGAGTTAGAGACCAGCATGGCCAACATGGTGAAACTCTATCTCTACTAAAAATATAAAAATTAGCCAGGCACGGTAGCACATGCCTTTAGTCCCAGCTACTTGGGAGGTTGAGGCAGAAGAATCACTGGAACCCGGGAGGCAGAGGCTACAGTGAGCTTAGATTGCACCGTTGCACTCCAGCCAGTGCGACAGTGAGACTTCGTCTCAAAAAAATAAATAAATAAATAAAAATTACGTACTTAGTTGGGGAGATTTTGTGTGTATGGAGACAGAGTATAAGGACTGTCCATACTTTCTGCTCAATTTTGCTGTGAACCTAAAACTACCCTAAAAAATAAAGTTCATTAAAAAAAAAAATCACATCCTAAGCTCCCAAGGACATAAAACAAGTTAGAGATCTTACCCAGGTTTTTTGTTTGTTTCAGGGACCTGCGGCCAAGTTTGTTACTGACCAGTTTCCCGGGCCATCTAGAACAGTGAGCATATGGGGTACTAGCGCGTGCTCTAACCTAAGGTACCCCTCTTCGTGAAGAACAACACAGAAAAAGAAATTTGTAGCACAAATTTTGCAAAAAAAAAAAAATCACATACTTAAAAATAAATCACTTGAGCACAGAAGCATATCAAAATCTAACATAAACAAACAAAAAACTCAACTTATTTTAACATGCCACTGAAACTGGGCTCAAGTTTTTAAACATCTTATGAAATATTATACTTCAAGCAGGCTTTTTTTCTTTTTCCTAAAGGGAGAAAAATGGCAGCGTTCTGGTGTGGAAAAGCAATCCATGTTTGTACAGAGAGGGGGCACAGGAAAAGTGGTCAAATTCAACCTGTCTGTCATCAAACAGGTGACTACTGTCTTCTCAACACTTCCAAAGAAATCATACATCTGCTCCTGTTTATGTCATATGCCTGTTCATTTTTCATGCTAATTCTTAGTGTTTCTGGAAAACCTCACTGTTCGACACAGAAAATTATTATTGCTATTGCTGTTGTTTTATTATGTAAGCCAAGCAAATGACGGTGAATTAATTCTGCAATGTTGAGTACTCAATTAGCATACAGGCACCCAGCCTTCCAAAGGGATGTCCTTCATGTTTCAGTAATTTTCAAATGACAGTCGGCTTGCCTAAACTTATCCTTTACATTTAACAAATTTCGTGGGTTCCTGTCTGCCCAGGGGATTTTTATTACTTGTTTATGCAAACAGCAGGTTGCATAAGAGTCTTGCTGGCCTTTTTTTTTTTTTTTTTTTGAGGGATTTCGTAGTTTCCTGGTAACCATTCAGTCATCTATTTCAACACCCTGACATGACATAAAGGCAGGCGGTGGAACCACACGTTCACCACTCAGACACACGCCTCCTTGCTGAAGCATTCGCCTGGTGAGGCGCCCCATCAGACCAACTAGCTGCACTCATGGACTGGCAGAACCCGCAGGATCACTTTCTGGAAATAGACAAGAAGAACTGCTGTGTGTTCCGAGATAAGTTTATTTCCAATGTGTTGCCACCGGTGTTGGGGCTGGAGTTTATCTTTGGGCTTCTGGGCAATGGCCTTGCCCTGTGGATTTTCTGTTTCCACCTCAAGTCCTGGAAATCCAGCCGGATTTTCCTGTTCAACCTGGCGGTGGCTGACTTTCTCCTGATCATCTGCCTGCCGTTCCTAATGGACAACTATGTGAGGCGTTGGGACTGGAAGTTTGGGGATATACCTTGCCGGCTGATGCTCTTTATGTTGGCCATGAACCGCCAGGGCAGCATCATCTTCCTCACGGTGGTGGCGGTGGACAGGTATTTCCGGGTGGTCCATCCCCACCACGCCCTCAACAAGATCTCCAATCGGACAGCAGCCATCATCTCTTGCCTTCTGTGGGGGATCACTATTGGCCTGACAGTCCACCTCCTGTACAGGAAGATGCTGATCCAGAACGGCAATGCATATCTGTGCAGCAGCTTCAGCATCTGCCAGAGCTTCCGGTGGCACGAAGCCATGTTCCTCCTGGAGTTCTTTCTGCCCCTGGGCATCATCCTGTTCTGCTCAGCCAGAATTATCTGGAGCCTGCGGCAGAGACAGATGGATCGGCACGCCAAGATCAAGAGAGCCATCACCTTCATCATGGTGGTGGCCATCGTCTTTGTCATCTGCTTCCTTCCCAGTGTGGCTGTGCGGATCCACATCTACTGGCTCCTGCATACTTCGGGCACACAGAATTGTGAAGCGTATCGCTCGGTGGACCTGGCGTTCTTCATCACTCTCAGCTTCACCTACATGAACAGCATGCTGGACCCCGTGGTGTACTACTTCTCCAGCCCATCCTTTCCCAACTTCTTCTCCACTTTGATCAACCGCTGCCTCCGGAGGACGACGACAGGTGAACCAGATAATAACCGCAGCACCAGTGTGGAGCTCACGGGGGATCCGATCACAACCAGAGGTGCTCCAGAGGCCTTAATGGCTGACTCCGGAGAGCCGTGGAGCCCCTCTTATCTGGGCCCAGCGTCTCGTTAAATAACCATGCTAAGAAGGGACATTGTCACCAAGAACCAGGATCTCTGGAGAAACAGGTGGGCTGCTGCATCGAGTGGCGTCACTGGACTCAGCCTAAGGTTTCCTGGAACTTCCAGATTCAGAGAATCCGATTTAGGGAAACTGTGGCAGACGAGTGGGAAGCTGGTTACAACGTGTGACCGCAGGAATCTTAGAACAGAGAGTAAAGCTTCTAGGCATCTGAAATTTTTGCTTAATCTCTCGTGCTTGCAGGACCAAAGATGGGCAAATTGTCAGCATCTCTGCTGAGCAGAGTTAGAGCCAGAGATCCACTTGTGCCTTGTTGGCCTTCTTCCCTCACCTGCCTGAGACTGGGAGGGTTCTCAGCTCCTGGGGGGATATCTAGCCTGCCTGTGGGCTCTAGCAGGGATAAGGGGAGCTGAGATTGGAGGGAGTTATGTTGCTCCTGGAGGGAGCCCAGGCATCATTAGACAAGCCAATAGAAGGTCACCTGGCTTCCGTGGACCAATTCATCTTTCAGCCAAGCATTAGCAGAAATGGACTTGGCGAAGAGACTCACATGCTTTGGTTAATATCTGTGTTTCCAGTGGGTGTAACAGGGGATTAGCCTCAGAAGGGACTGAGCTAAACAGTATTATGAAAGGAAAGGAAATGGCATTGCTGCTTGTCAACCAGCGACTAATCCATTCCTCTCTTGTTTATTCTAATTGGAGGGCTGAGCAGTTAAAAGGGCTTCAGGATAGAAAGCTGTTTCCCACCTCTGTTTACTTTTACCATTAACAGGGCAATGCGCTGCTGCCCAATGGTTGGAGGGGGGGTAATTCCTCCTGGTTCATTTGCTTGTGTTTCTTTACTTCCCATAAATCTACCATTTCAATAAATTTTGATAGGAGACACAGTCTGGTATTGCTGTCTGGGTTATGGTTCACAGAAATGGACTTCTGACTTAAGCAGAGACCTTTATGGGTTGTTAACTATGTCCTGGTAGAAAACTACTCTACGCTGCAAAGTAAGAAAGACTCACAGACACTGAGCGACATCATGAAACAACTAAGCAGAAATTACACCTGTGTCTGGACAAAGAAAGAGCTGGGATTAAAAATAATTTGGAAGGATAGTACAGATATGACTGCAAGAGCACTTATGTTTTATTAGAGTTTGGTGCACACTGCTGTTAGTACTTGTGCATTAAAATGGAAATCAGGGCTGGGCACAGTGGCTCACACCTGTAATCCCAGCACTTTGTGGGGGCTGAGACAGGTGGGTTACCTGAAGTAAGGAGTTTGAGATCAGCCTGGCCAACATGGCGAAACCCCGTTTCTAGTAAAAATACAAGAAAAACTAGCTGGGCGTGGTGGTGGGTGCCTGTAGTCCCAGCTACTGGGGAGGCTGGGGGAGGGAGAATTGCTTGAACCCGGGAGGCGGAGGTTGCAGTAAGCCAAGATGGTGCCCCTTCACTCCAGCCTGGTTGACAGAGCAAGATGTCATCTGAAATAATAATAATATGAAAAGGGAATCAAGCCAGATGAATATTTTTCCATAGGAGGGGGAAGAGTGAGCTTCCTATGGAATGGTTTCAGTTCCCAATTCAAAGAAGAAAAGGAGATGTACTGGTTTGAGTCTGTGATCAGTCCAAGTTTCTGTTACGCTTTCATTTCTAACTCTGTCACTCCTTGATTCTTTGGCAAGATGAGGCTTGCTTCAACTTCCTGACATGAACACAGATAAGAGACAGGCTCCCAGCTCTGGGTAAATGGCAGTCAGTGAAGAAAGGTGGACGCTCTGGAATTACTTCCGTGCTTTCAGAGCAGTTTGCTTGTCTGTATCACCAAGCAACATGTAGAAGTAAAAAGCCGAAAGCAAGGATCACCTTAAAGAGGAAGAGCTGTCAGGGATGAGCTCAGAGGAAAACAGGGATTCCCCCAGCCTCGGAAGCATGAGTCAGTGGGAAGCCTGGTTGTGAATCTCCGATTCTTTCGGGGGATGAGGTGGTTGGGAGTATTTGGACCTCCACAACTCACAGTCATTCACTGATTCAGGCATTCCATCAGTTTTTTTGTTTTTTGAGACAGAGGAGTCTCGCTCCGTCACCCTGGCTGGAGTACAGTGATATGATCTTGGCTCACTGCAGCCTCCACCTCCTGGGTTCAAGTGATTCTCCCACCTGAGCCTCCTGAGTAGCTGGGATTACAGGCGTGCACCACCATGCCTGGCTAA